ACAAATGTTCAGTTATGATTCCGGTCACCAACTCAGTGTGTTGAATCCCTATTCAAAGTTTGTATACATTGACCAAAAAAGAAGTAGCTCCTTTGGTGTGGTTTCAGATCTTCAGACACAAGACAGGACATGCATTTTAGCATGTGTAAATATTTACAAATACACACCTGTGTGTACAGGCATACTTTGATTTTCATGCTTCCATCAGCATTTGGAAAACCACTGTTTTGAAAACTTGATTTTTAAAGATTATTAAGTGAGGTCACATCCACAATGAATTTGTCCTCAGGGCTCCTCCTGAAAGGTGTTACCCTGGGTTGGTCGCCTGTCTCTGGCTATAAGAAGCTTGGAGCGGATCATTACTGTAATCCCAAAGCAGAAATTGAACAGTTTATTTTCAGATGTGTAATCCGTGGATTGTCTGTCAAAAAAAAGTCAGTGGTTCAGCCGTAATGTGAGTTGTGTCTGTTCTGACAACCAGCAGGTCCTGTCCGCGCTGGTGGCCTTCCCCCATGTGCATCTCTCATCGTCTGATCCCTCTGCCCAGGGCCTCCGCCTTCCCCTACCCCTCATTTTTTGCATGTTATGAAGGATTACATTTCAATGCCAGTATTTTTTAAAGGGTATAGGTTATCTGAGGTGCAGGCTGTACGTGCAAAGATACGATAGCTCTTAGCACAGTAGATGGCCCAAGCCAGGCTGGCTGTGAAAGTGCTCTGCTTATGGCTAATCTTTTGGTATTTTCAGCTGTGCACCAAAGACTAATCAGTCACAAGGGGCAGCAAGAGAGCTTGGGTTATTGCAGGGGTATTTCACACGAGGAAATCTGTGCTCCAGGCCCAAGGGACAGATGCATGATTCTCCTGCAGAAGAAGAGGAGGACTTGAGGTGCTCCTGGCTGCACCAGGGAGCAGATGCTTGAGAAGCGCAAAGCACCCGTGCTTGCTCCCTTATTCTATTTTTTCCACGTTTTACCAGCATCAATTTGACAATTGATAACTTCATCCTCTGTTAATTAGGGTTTGTACCAGTGTACATGAGAGCAGATCCTGGGCCTGGCCCAGTCTGGATCCTTTCTCCCCTTGCTTTCAGGTCAGGCTGTAGCTGTTAGGCTGGGCTCAGTTTGGTAGCACGCTGTGAATGGCAGGCTTGACTGCCGCTTTTTATTTATCCATATTAAGTTCATCAGGCTTCCTGGGGCCATCCGAAGCTTCCTGGAGTGGGTACTCTCACAGGCAGATGTGGCTCCTGGAAGGCAGACGTGTAGCTCTGGGAGGCAGATATCTGCCTCAGACTTGGATCACTCCTTTTGGACTATGTGGTTGTAAGAGCATTTTCTTACAATATATTTCCTTGGGGGAATCAGATGGACTTAGATCTCGGATACCATCCCCACTAAGTGATACAGTAAAAATAACCTATTATTCTCTGGTTCTGACCTGGGCGGTGACAACATATTGTTTCAGCATCTCTGTCAGACTATTTCCCTTAAGAGCCATTTTAACCTCACCCAGTGGGACATAACTAAAGGAAATGAAACTCCAACCCCATTAAGGAGAAAGACAATGCCTTTCACTAAACAAACTTGATTTTCTTGGCTTTTCTTTGCCAAGGAGAATCGCCCGTACCCCCCACCCTTGCAGCCTTTGTAGACAGTTCCTGTAATTGGGAATGGCTGGGTGGACACCAATGGTTGGCAGCAAAGGGGGATAAATCCGACATCCCTTGAACGTGACATGGGCTGGGACCGCAGTCCCAGGTGGCCGCTTAGCGTCAATTCCTATGGTACTGGTCGGCGGTACGTGCCTGCCAGCCACAGCTGCCGGCCCTCGAAACACAATCAGGATTTTAGCAAGACTAGATAAGAGATACACAGTAAAACTGGGCTGTTACTAATTTTGTGCAGGCATTGGATAAGTACTGTACTGTGCCCCACTGGCGAGAGCTGGTGACTTGCAACAAGATTGTGGTGGTCCATCTCCTGGCACTCGTGCGGTGGAACGGCCACCCCAAAAGCAAGTGTCACCTTGAGGGTTTGTCATTTGTGGGCTAAGGGGAAGGTCACGATTCATTTTCACACTCCAGCTAAGGCTGAAACAAAATTTGCACTCACTAATTAGGTTTTCAAATGTGGCCATTAATTTGGGGTGTCTTAAGACAAATTAGAAATCCCTTTTTAAAATGCAGTCCCACGCAATTACGAAGTAGGAGTCTGAAAAGGCACCGTTTCACATTTTGCGTGTGGGTAATTAGGACAAACCCCAGGGTGATCACCTCGTCCCTGGGAGAGTTAGGGTTTGCAGAACGCAATCAGTTGGTCAGGCTTGCAAACTCTGGGTAGAACTATGTAACACCTGGGTCAAAGTAAATCCACAGGCAAGAAGATTAGAACTGGCGGAAAAATAAAGAACTCTGTGTCGCAAGATAAAAGTAGATTGCAAAAAAATATCAATCCTGGAAGAGTTTTTAATCTCAGAGGTTGCTAATGCCTGTAGGTCCCCTTGGGTTTTTGACAGAAAGGTAACCCCTGTGCCCAGTGTTCCATTTTGGGGTATTTCCAGTATCAGTCCCCACGGGGAGCAGTTAAGATCCTATTTCAAACCTTAATCCTGCAGGGATCTATAAATCTATATATCTCTGTGCCCTGTTAAGCAGGTTCATGGCTGTCCCAGCAGTTCACCAAAAAATTGTCTGAAAAACAAGAGCGTACCCTAAACACTAGGTGTGAGTTACTCTCTCTTTTGCACACTTTCTTCCTCTGTTGATGAGTGTTTCAATAACCCCTGTGAAGAACAGCTTCCATGAGAGACAGTCCAAATGCCCTCCATTCCTCAGCCCAGAATAGCCTGTTGCCTGATGGTTATGACATTTTCCTGCAAGATGAAAGATAGGGAATTCAAGCAGCACCAATAGCGAAAGAAAGTGAAATTGGGCTTTCTCCATGCCTGGTTGCTGTTGCAGTGAGAGCAGGACATCAGCCACCTCGTAGGTACCTCTTGGAAGAAAAGCGATTGCACCTATTTTTTTTCTCCCTCAAGAGATGACTCCAGGGGGTGATGCAGGGTGGTACCTATTTGGGCCTCGGAGTGAGATGCAGATGTCCCAGGGAGGTTAAGGCTACTGTGAATCCCTCTTGGAGGCACCTCCATTAATCTCCATGCATGCCACTAGGAACACAAGTTAGCTATTGTGAATTAATTCCCTGAAGCAACCAGGTGCCTAAAGGCTGTTATGGAGCTGGCCCTACCATTATTATTCAGTTACTACACTACTTTATCTCACACCATGTCTCTAACAGCAACCAATAGGAGCTATTGTAGAGGAATATGTGTCCTGCCCTCATACCCCTACAGTGGGTGGTGATGATCCATCACCCTGTGATTAACTTTCTCCTTCTGTGAGCTCTCTCTGCTGTTGAGCAGGAGGTATTGCAGTTGCTCATGTCACCTCTGTGCGGTCAGCAGTGGCCTTTTGTAAAAAACAGTAGAAAGTCATAATGATTAGCATTGTGAAGATTAAAGTCCCTTTTCAGATCATGGCCTGATAGGCGACTGCTGTTGCAATACCTGCTTCGTAAAGGCCACCAGTATGTCAGTGGGATGAGTATCGAGCTGCTGTGGTTTGCGAAAATGTTAGCCTTCCGAAACTTTCCATGGTGGATGGAAAGATTTACGGGTACAGTGATGCATATCTATCTCAAAGTCATGTTCAGATTAAAAGCTTCCTGCAGAGCTAATGTCAACTCAGGTTTCAGGTCACTGCCACAAGCTAAATCAGGTTAGAGATCAAAACCAGCAAGCAGGTACGAGGGAGGCTTGCAGCTATCGAATGGGATAATCTGTAGCATGATTTTTTTATGACTGTGCACCCATAATGGCATGTTCAAGCAGGGAATGGTTGTGGTCTGGTATAAACTTGCTGGTTTGCCTGGTTCTGGTGAAGATTTCACATGCTTTTCAGTATCAAAAACCTGTGCAAAAATAACTGGTCAGATCCAGCTAAGTCACTTGAGTTATGTGGGGAATGAATTGGCCTCATATGCCTGAATCTAAGTTAACATAAAAGCTACAAGTTATTTCTAAATTGTTTTCAGTAGGAAATCCTTGATGAAAAGGCGCTTGTTAGAGTAATTCTTTCTGTTATTACTCTTACACAATCTATGATTTTTGAACATCATAAATTATATATATAAATTATAAAACCAGCTATGATTTAATATGCTTTGGGTTTTGCATCAGGTGACTCATGCCACTGACTTTTTAATTAACTAAGGAACCATCATTCTTGGCAAACTGTTCAATTGCATAGGTGTGTATAAGACAATAATTGAATATAAAGGTTTATTTTTGTCCCTTTATTGATGTGAAGGGAAAACAGTGCCGTTATGAAAATGGAATAATCTGAAAAGATTCCTTCAGTTTCTGCGGGTTGATTAGAACAAATGACTTTCCATTCCCGTTTTTATGAATGTATAGTTTTCTGAAAGCTTTATAATACTTAAGGGAAAGGAAATTGCAGGCAGTAAATGATACAGGATGGTTCAGGTTATTGGGAAATAGAGGAATGGGTTTTATCTGGAAAGGTGAGATTTACTATTCTGCTGTAGTTCACTTAAATGCTTGAGACGGAATCAGGTGCGGTGATTTGTACCTTATTATGGGCATGGAAACAGCATGAGACACTTGCTCAGTAACACCATTTGCTGATGCCGATGCAGTGCGCAGTCTTTATACACCTTTGTCTGCAGCCAGCAGGTTGGCAGCGGTCTCAAAGCTTTGCTGTGCCCTACAGTGCATTGGCCACAAAGAGGTGACCACAGAGTCCAGGGGTGGTTTGTCTCTCCTGGTCAGTGAAGGCAGCAGATGTATTTTCATATCTCAGCTTGATAAACAGCACTGTTTTTGTGGAATTAATTTGGTTAAACAATTCTTGCAGTGTTAGAGAGCTCCAGCAGTAAAGACTGTTTAACAAACCCAGGGTATTTTTTTTTTCCTATGTAGAAAGCAGAAACATGGCAACAAAGGAAAAGCTTCAGTGCTTGAAAGATTTCCACAAGGACATCCTCAAACCTTCCCCCGGCAAGAGCCCGGGGACACGGCCTGAGGATGAGGCAGAAGGAAAGCCGCCCCAGCGGGAGAAGTGGGCGAGCAAGATTGACTTTCTGCTGTCCGTGGCTGGTGGATTTATTGGTTTAGGCAACGTCTGGCGGTTTCCGTATCTCTGCTACAAAAATGGCGGAGGTGAGTATTTCTTTATTTCATTCTCACGAATCAATCTGTCTGCTTTATGCTTACTATTTTTCAGTGCCTTCATCCAATTTTTAACAAGGATAACCACACATCTGTTTTCTGCCTTCTTCACCAGTCTTCAGGAAAGATTGGTTTATTGCTTAATAATTTTGGTTAAAACTTAGTTAGGGAAAACCAACAGCAATTAAAAATCTTACACTGATGAACCTTTTCTGCTACAATTGAGTCTGAGTTTTAACCAGAAGACATGCTAATAATACAGACCAGTAGGATTTCAGACCAGTGCAATTCAGAGTAAGAGCATTCTGAGCCATGTGAAACTGTTGTGTGCCTAACCCCATTGTTATTGCAGATTTTCACTTTAAAAAGGTAAGAAAATGCCCTTTCCAGCTGTATATACCCATTCCTTTTGCAGACAACGTGAGCACCCCAGAATAAGATTATTGTGTACCGATATTAAGGTATAAAATATGTTTCTTTGTTTATATATGCCTGTTACCACTTTTCAGAAAATCTTGTGTAAGTTCACTCACTTCATCTCAGTTTTGTACTATTATATTTTCTCAACAGGTGCATTTCTTATACCTTATTTCATTTTCCTGTTTGGGGGAGGTCTTCCCGTGTTTTTCCTGGAGGTGGTGCTAGGACAGTATACCTCTGAAGGTGGAATTACATGCTGGGAAAAGATCTGCCCTATTTTCACTGGTTAGTACATCTTCTTGTGCTTTACTGCTTAAAGACACCTCTGTAAACCATGTGCAGCAACACTATTCCCCTCATGTCCATTAATTCAGCTATTTGCCGTAGTAATTGAGGGTATGCTACTGGTTCCTGGAAAGGTAGAAGTCAGAGAGTCTGAAGGACAAAGTAAGGTATTGATTTTGATGCTATCATCTTGTTAACTGGCAGAACTGCCGATAAGCAAGAAAGAAATTGCATATTATGCCATAAAAAGGCAATGGCACGTTTTGCTCACAGGTGTCGGAGAAAGTGTTGTTTTGGAAGGCTAGATGGCCTTAGTGAAAGCATCTTCAAAATATTATTCTGCTCTGGAAATCAAAATCATTCTGCCATGTGACAGCTTATCATTGGCATCATCCCTCTGTTACTGATACAGCCAAAACCTGGATGGCATATTTTGGTAGGATTCAGGAACGGGACTTTTGTCGTAACTGAGAAAGTCCTGGCAAACAGGCATGTTGGTCTGATGTTATTGAAGGACCATTGCCAGCGAATGAAGAATCACTCACCGCTCACAGGAATTCTACGAATGCTGCTCTGGAAGTTAACTAGAATGAGAAAAATGAAAGACAGGTTAGAAAAATTACCAAGGATGCCTATCTTGTGTATAGATTACCTTTTACAGCTGGACAGCACAGGCAGAATAATTTGGAATAATTACACTAAACAGAGCATCACTCTTCAAATCCCATTTAGAAAGAGTGGGCACTTAATGCTGCTGTGTCTCTAGCTCTGTCACCATCGTTCCAGGCATCTCTCTCCCTTTATGTCACCCGAAGCAGAAGTGAAGGCTTTCTCCGTGGCTCACACTCCCACCTAATACTCAGAATGCTGCTGAGGTTGATGTAATTGTGCTGCTTTAGCTCCATTTTCTTCCTCCTCCTCCCACTTTTATGAAGTTGTTGGGGGTTTTGGGGTTTTTTTTTGAGGAGGAAGGAATGTGCCTTGTTTAAATAGCAATCTCCCAGGCATCCATAAAGAGAAATTGTAGCTCTAATAATGTGACTAGCTGTATATCCTGAATGAAATGCAGCTGTACAGAATAAATAGCACTTTCTCTGCTTGTTTTCACTTGGCATAAAAATAATCTCTGGTGGTAAAGACTCCTGCTGCAATAAGGTTTGAAACTGTAAAATATGAGGCAGGTATTCCAGATGCTGGGGTAGGTATCGGAGTGATGCTAAAGGGAACCTCATAGGCTTTTCATCCTCTTGTAAGAGTCTGCTCTAAGTTTTTAAAGGAAATCTTTTTTTTTTCTCTGATATTCCTAAATGGTAATCTTTTTGGAGCTAAAAGATTTTCAGGTACAGGGACTTCTCAGAGTCCTTTCATTTTGTATTTAAAAAAATAGTGACTGCTTCTGCACTTAAGACGTAGTATGAATCTGCCAGTGGAGCTAAACTGCCGCGCTAGGAGAGACATACCAGACTCGGGAGAAACGTTGTGGTATTTAATTAAAGCCTCTACCGGAACAGCATTCCGCCACCTCCTGAAGTTGTGTAGGACTCACTCTTATCTGCCCATGACCCTGCTTTGAAAAACAAACAGGGAACATTTTTTATCGTCAAATATTGATTGCAGAGTTAAACATTGATCTAATTAACTATAGCAGCTACAAATATCATTCTTCCTTTGCACAAGTGAAATCGGGGCAGAAACAGCAGCTTTCACATTGATAGCTTTGGAATTTTCCTCTTTAACTCATTCAAGAACTGTCTTTTTTTTTTTACACGTAGGCTGAGCCAAGCCAGCCGAGCTGCTCCGAGGAAACTGGCTTGGGAGACAGTGTGACAAGAATGAGGTTGCCCACATAAGTACCTAAGAAGTGAGGTGGCGTAGCTCTCAAATAAGCAAAGCATGATGCCTTGGCTTCCTTCTACTAAAACTTGAAATAGCTGGGTTAGTGTTAAATTGGGTAGACGTCCTGCACACCTCCCCTCCAGCAAACCGCAGCCAGAAGCTCAGCCCAGAGTGCCCGTGCTCGTCAGACTGTGTGTCGCGTGTGGTTGAGTTGAGCTGAGTTTCCATCAGCAGTGCGGTAGAGCAGAATACAAGTCCATGATGCAGTGGGAATAGCATCAGCTCCACGAGATCACAAGGTGCCCTGGCAAGAATTGGCTGACACATCTTTCTTTTCTCTCCCCCTCTCTCTAGGAATTGGTTATGCTTCCATAGTGATTGTGTCCCTTCTGAACGTGTACTACATCGTGATCCTGGCCTGGGGACTGTACTACCTGTTCCAGTCCTTCCAAAGCGTCCTGCCATGGGCACACTGCCACCAGAAATGGAACACACCGACCTGCGTGGAAGACACTCTCAGGAAGAACAAAACACTCTGGATATCACTGAATGCCACTAACTTCACCTCTCCTGTCACGGAGTTCTGGGAGTAAGTACCCCTTCTTCGTGGTGCCTTTGGGGTGCTTCAGTGGCATGGAGGAGGTCAGGCCTCAGATTTTGTGGAAGCCCCATGGGGAATGTTAGATAGGAAAAGAAAATTGCTGTGAGTGTCAGTTGTTTGACCGGTGTTTGCTACTGTTTCTCATCCATCTTGAGACAGACTGGTAAGTCTGGGAGCGGTGGAGGAAGGTGTTAGATGTGTAACTGCATTCATCCTAGGGTGTACAGGGAGCCCTAAAAGCCCAGTGCAACTTCTGCTTTGGAAGAAAACTTCTTTCCTTCTTGGTTGGGATTCTCTGAATGCACAGAGTGAACAGAAACAAGTCACTTCAGATGCCCTGATAGCAGGGATTTATGGTGGAAATGGTGACAAATCACCCCCCTTGTGGATGCCTCTTCCTCTTTCCCAGCTTTAGCATTTGCAGTACACTTTGTGAAGCTTTACTCATCTCTTATCAGTCTGACAATGATGCAAAGCATTGATCTCAGCAATAAAACCGACAGAGGTGGTGAACGTTGTCCTTTACTGTAGGTTTCTCAGGTCATCTTTATTACATCATTTTTTTTCTGCCGTCTCTGAACAGACCCTGTTTTGCAGGATGCCTGGATTTCATCAGGCCTAAGATTCTTATTCCCATTTCTCTCTTCTTTTCTGAACGGGCATGACCTCAAATCTCTGTGTGTTTATATAGGCGTCAAAACATAGCAGCAGAGGAAGACACCTGTAGGGAAACTTAAATCCAAAGGATCTACAAATAGCTTAGGAAGAAATTTTTTTTTCTTGGCTTACTCAGATGGTCAATTAAGAGTAGAATTAGTTTCTGACCCAGCTTGGCTTTCTCAGCATGTTTAAAGTCCAGTTTGGTCCCTGATCAACTTGTACCTACTTCTCTATTTTTAAAAAGAAGTGTCAGCGAATAGCCTCCGCAGGAGTGATGTTAATGCCAAAGATATTTGGCATGAGTTAGGTTTAGAAAAAAATACTCTTATGAACTGTGGTAAAATTTGTAACACAAGAGCCAAAATACAAAGGGCAGATTGGGTCTCGGATGAGCAGTTTGTCAAGAGGCACCGGTGACCAGCCTGAGAGACGCGTTGCAGGCTGTAAGGGCAGTTGTTTCCACCATACTGTGAGCACTGTGTTTCCATGTTGAGTGACATACTTTCCCAAGCAACTTCCTCCCTTGTAAATATGGAGGGAGTTGGAAAAGGGTTGTTAAATGGTACCTTTGGATGTTTTAGGGGAACTTAGAGGCAAGTTGCTGTGGAAGAGGAAGCAACTCTCACTCCTTCGGACTCTCCCACAACGACTTTGGGACTGAGGGCCGTGAATCCAAATGAGTTCAAAGGTCTCTTCAAGGCCTCCCTAAGAATCACGGGTCCACAGTGCTGCCCCTGAAATAGAGTTACTCTCCCAGGACTTGAAAAACACTGTGTTCATCTTCAGTTTTGTGCAGTAAGTTTGCTCACAGGTCCTCTTGCAACTGGGGACAGCCATGAGCTTAGGAGCCTCCTGATGTGGCCACAGGGTTGTCCTGCTGCTCTAGAACCTTCTACTCTATAATGCACAGATTTACAGGCTGAGTTGTTTCCCTGGGGCCCTAGGTGGCATGTCCACTTCAGGAGACTGAAGATACTGTAGCAGAAGGAAGTGGGTCTGGGAGTTGGAAAAGGGGTTGTAAAAGAAAGAGTGAGGGCTCCAGGATCTTTCCGTGGGTAACGACACAGCAGGTACACGGTGAAGGGCCTTATGGTAGGGCAGCCTGTCCAGGGGTTGGTGGAATGATGTCCCCATGGGAGCGCATTAGGGGTGGAGCTTTTAGGTTCCTCTGAAATAAACCAAGTGTCTGTCCTCAAAACTCCCCTGCAAGCTGAACCGAATCCTCCTGTAGGCACAGCCTTACAGACTTAGTCAGACTGGAGGTGCCCAAGGCTGGAGGACAAATCCTTGATCCTCACAGCACTTTCCCCTTCCCTTGGTCTTGCCTTCACTGTTTCTGTAGCAGAGCCGGAGCAAAGGTTGCTCAGCAATTAGTGCTCATGGGGGCAGCCCTCCTTGCACTTTGCAGCCACTTTAACTTTTGTCCTCAAATAACAGATTTAAACATTGTCAACTGAACTGTTCCCTGGAGTCATGCTAGGGAGGAGTTTGGCTCCACAATCCTACTAGTACAGACATACTGTCCATAGCTGACTGTTTCATCATGAGCAAAACTGCCCTTAACAGAGCAAGCTGCCTTCAGGACTCATGGCACTTACAGAAGTATTAAAAATAGCTGTTCTCTCTGCATAAATAACTATTGGTGTCTTAAAGTAAGGACAGAGATCATGCAGCACTGTTGTAATTAAAGTAGCATAGCTTTGACATGGTGCAAGCATTTAGTATCCCCAGTTTTTCCCCAGCCATACTACTGTTCTTTATAGTTCTGAAATTAAAAATCATTTGAAAAACTTTCAGGTACTTTACCATCATAGACAATGCCAGCTGCCAGCCAGCCAGCTACCCACATTGAAAGGACAGGTCAATAAATAGTCTTTAACTGAAGATATCCATCTGCTTTGTGGCACAATTAATTCCAATTTAATTCAGGGGTTTGAGTATTTGGTTTCTGAAACCTAATGCCATTTTTATTGTGGGACATTTATGTAGTGTCCTTATCAGTATTGCCTTGTAAAACTAATGCTGCCCAGATATAATTGACCACATTGATGCATTAACCTCTTTGCGTTGAATAACACGTGTCTTTCTCAGCCTGGCTGGACGTATAGTACAGCCTGACATTTCAGTTCATTTGAATTAATGTTCTGTGCAAATCACATGCTTGCTTGAGCAGCAATAAAAGGGGGTTAAGCAAATCTGGCTTTGTATCAGGAGACTTACCTCTTGGTATCACATGCTTCAGGTTTTATTTCTGAAGATTTTGTTTTAAAGTCCAAAACCTTACAGGCTTACACACGTATTAATACATAAGGCATAAGTGTTATGGGGTAATTATGGTTGAACAAAACCTTTGATTGTCTGGTGCTGGCCAGTTGTTTATAAATATTTGGTAATCAGCAGACTTTATTTGTCCAAATCCCAAGAAAGACCATCACATGCTGTTGGCATGTAATCCCAAAGAGAGCAGCGCAAAAAATAAACAAAATCTAGGGCAGCTGTCTCTGCCTTGGGGGCAAACTTGAGAGTTTAAAAATTTGTTTCATATTCTCCTTCTGGTAGTCTTCTGGTACAACTGCTTCAGTGTTAGTTATTCTTGTCCACCCAACATGAAAGGGTGCTTCGCCTTTCCTGGTACAAAAGGTCCTGTCTGCATTCACTTGATTAACGAGCTGGAATATCCTTCACAGATTGCATAACTCTCCTCATTTTATTTTTGTTTATATTCTAGAGCCAGTTACAGCTCCTATTACATTTCCATATTGCACATCACTAGAACATATTAGTGTATGAACAAGGTTCAAGAACTCATGTTTACAACAAACTCAGCCCCAGCCTGTTGTCCCATTGATTATATACGAGTGACAGTTAATGACAGCATCAAGACTATAAATTAGAATGAGTAACAACTTCATGCATAAATGGTGTGAAGTTAGTTGAGTGGGCTTGGCTGAATCTAAGCAGCAGTGGGTTGTGTAACAAAATTGAAGAGCTATCAGCATAGCCTGGCTTGTGCTCCTTCCTGAACTTGAATTTTCAGGGTATCGCAAATCCAGGTTGAATGCTTCTGCTGCAAAAAAACCTTGAGTTAGATTTCATGAAACAATTTTCACACTGAGGCTCCCCTGATAATTCTGAGCGGATTCCTTGGGGTAGTTGGTCTTTGTGAGACGAGACAACCCAGGACAGAAAGCCAGCACATCACTTTTAGTGCGCTTGCTGCCTCACCATAAAAAAGAAACACATCTGGCTCTCAGTAACCCATTGGGGTGCCCTCCAAAAAAACTTGAAAGGATTGCTGGGGCAAACTCTAGTTGCAATGACCACTTGTTTTTAGTTCCCCAATAAAAAGTGAAGAAGTCTCAGCTGAATGCATTAATAGAGCTCCCTATTCCAAAATGCATTTGCAGTTAATTATTCATGGCTTCCTGAGAGGTAGCTCTATAGGTTGCCTTTTTTAATATGAACTGCCCCTTAAATTGGAAAATTGCCATTTATTTTTTAAAAAACCACAGAAGGTTGCAGCTGAACTTTGTCATCTTATAAATGTATTTTCTTCTATTGTATATGCACAGCGGGTTTTTCCCTGGTTTCTTTAGGCTCAGGTGAACCAGGACTGCAACTTTATGCCAAATATTCATTACTGAGGGGTTTCTCGTAACTGTTGAATAGCTGTGCTGATTAGGGCAGACTTACCCTGCCTGGTGCCATTAGTCCTTTTCCATAACAAAATACACACACGTTCAGAGAGAATAAAGCATTTGGTGTGAGAACACATTGGCACAGGTAATCCAAGCGAATTTGACAAACAGAGACACAAAAACAGATGGATGAGGGTTTGAGCCCTATTAAACTGCTCGATCCAGGGTTTGTTGGTTGTTTTTTTTTCAAAAACTAATTGCAAGTTTTCCATCGGTGACTTCATTCACTATAATTTCCATGGTAATAGAAAAAAAAAAGTTTAACTAATTCAGGGGAAAAACAAACCACAGTGGTTTGTCTTGTACTGGATCCACAGGCAAAGCTGCCTACTCCACGCTTGTGGGCCTGATCCTGGTTCAGCACCCCAGACTGCTGTGGTCTCTGCTCTCCACAACTCAGGTGAAGGAAAGTGGATGATTTTTATAGCTGTCTGAAAATAAGATTTAATTAACAGTTTGTTAGGTGGCAAGTTCATTTCTCTAGTCTTAGGGCAAGGTATTTCTGTTGTAATTGAGGTCAAAATTCTCCTTGACTTAAAAAAAACTTGCAGAAAGTCTTCAGAGTTTAGTAGGTTCATTTGCAGAGGAGTTTTAGCTAAGTGAACAGTAAGAAACAGTTTGTTCTTTCATACATATTTGACAAATGAAGTATCAGGTATGACAAGGTCTGTCCAGTGTGTGAGGACAGTGTATGCTGCATGAAATTAAAACAATAGTTTTAAGTCGGTATTTGATGGTGACCCAAGGCAATTTCCAAAAGAGAGAAGCCTTAATGAATTTTCCCTCTCAGGAACAGGGTATTTTGGCGGTCAGATGTTGCTCCCTTCAGACCCAGCTTAGGAATTTCTTTTCATTTATTAACCTAAGTGACAGAATAAAGTTTACCAAGTATCTGGAGTTAGCTAAACAAGACCCTCGTGCCTGCGGTGCTGAGGGCAGACGGCAGCGTGCCCGGGTAGTGTTTGGGGGGGTGGGCTGCAGGGGGAGAACGGGTAATGGCTCCAGCCTTCGCCCTGCAAAGCCGCACAGCGTGACAGTTCCATGCGTTGCTTTTTCCCTTTCCTCCTTGTGGCAGTCTTGCTAATGAACTGAAAAGGAGGAGAAACACACGGATGCAGGCCAGCTGCAAGTGTCCGTGATGGAGACATCATGTGCAATGCTGCCACGTGGCTTCAGAGCCAAGGGTTTGTGGCGACGCTGGGGCGAGTCGGTCTTGCATCTTTAAGGGAGCAATTGTGAAAGCCGTAGTGCTTTGAGCATACTTTCTTATCTCATATTGAGGTGGTCACGGGCTGCTAAAAAGAGCTTAAAATGCAATGCTGTGCAATATATTGTACAAGAGTATCACAGACCTAGGGAAGACGTAGGGCTGCAGAGCTGAGCTTTGCTCACATAAGCCATGCTGACTTAGCAAGGGGCAGGGATCTACCCATGCATCTGCTGCCCTGCATGACATCGTATACCCTCAGCCATCGCAACCAGATTCTGCATCGACTGAGTTCCTGCATCTCCCTCTTGTTTTGTTTCCTTTCAAATATTCAGGCGCAATGTACTGAGCTTGTCCTCGGGAATTGAAGATATTGGTATTATCAAGTGGGATCTAGCACTGTGTCTTCTCCTCGTCTGGGTGATATGTTTCTTCTGCATTTGGAAAGGAGTCAAATCCACTGGGAAAGTAAGTGCTGTGCTCTTTTACCCTTTTTATAACCATTGCAGTTAGCAGATGTTAGGAATAATAAGCAATGCTATTCTTAAAGATATTCACCAGTTCCTGGAAAAAAAACCCAGTATTTTTGCAGTGAATAAAAGAGGGATTCAGATTCAACTGACTTTCTGAAGTCATTGCCAGTGCCCAAAATGCCTGTGAGTCAAGTAGCCGTTGCTGGAATGGCATCGAGAAGCAGATTCAAGCGCGGTTTGAGTACCCCTTTGCCTCTCTGAGGACAAGCGTCCCACTGATGCATGTCATGAGCGTCGAAGTTCTTAGGCTTGTGATGTGTGGTGCTCTGCACTCCCTGTCTCTACTCTCACACCGGCCAAGTTCATGCTCAGTGCAGCAGGGTGGATGTTAACATAGCTGTGGTAGGGATGTTTTAAGTCAGTGGAAACTGGTGGATACATAGGATTTTTGAAATGCCACTCACTTACAGAAGAGCTCTATGTAGACACAGAAGACTAAACTTAGGTACTCTTTTAGAAGCATTCTTCTTAACAGAGATCCTGGACAGTTTGCATTTTTAGTCTCATCGTGTGCTCTTCAGAATCATGTTTTTGTCCAAAGGATAACAGTTAAATTATTCCTGAGCCTCATCCTACTCCAGTGCAAGAAGCAAGTTACAGCAAATCTCGGCCAATTACTTAACAACATAAAACATGGTATTATTGCCTGTTGCATACAGTAGTGGTTTTAAACCTATTTTCATGAGAAAAGGCTTCTGAAGCCATTGCATGTGTGTGGCTCTTAGCTTTCAAACCTATTGGTTGAGGCAAGTCTAACAGAGGAAGAGAGTTCTCCTGATAGTAAGTTCCCACAGGTTTCTTGTCAGCTGGGTGGAAGGGAGCGACCCCATTAGTGTCCCACCTGAGAAAAAGGCCACAGCGTGAACCCATCTTTTATCAGCCCCCAGAGAAGTCAGGAGGAGTGAGCAATTGCAAATGCCTCAACTGCAGAAAAAGCATCATTTAGCAATTTTACCTTGTTACACACTGCAGAATCAACCAGGAGACAAAACTCTTTAGGAAACCAGACCTCATTAGTTCCACTGTTGACTAAACTACTTGCTTCGTATTCGTTTCTGTCTTGCTTTCTGTGATTTTTATCATGGAGCCTCATTAAAATCATGCTGGTGCCTTACCTTGGATTCCTGCCAGCTCTACCCTAAAGAACAGCTTCCACACCTCTAAAGCATACGTTGACAAAAATGTTTGCTTCTCTGTTCCCTCTGATTGATGTGACCCGATGAGGGGATTGTGTAAGTTTTATAGTAAAGGTGAATGCAATAAATCTCCCGCGGTAGCCGAGTGGAAGCAAATGTTTCTGCAGTTCCAGGCGAGCCTGGTGTGCGCTCAGTAAAGGTTACGGTAGCACTGAGGGATTTTTCCAAGCTCCCTATGGCACGCTATTTCAAGCCCCTGTGAAGGTAACAGGTTGAAAACAGGTCTGTTAAAATCAGTTATCTAAAAATTTGTGTTGTCTGGAAATCCAGCAAAATGGTCTCAGTTCTAAGACAAGGCTGTTGGTAGGAATTCGCTGCCTCCTCTCTGCAGCGTCTGAGCTCATGTGGGTGTGGAGCCAAAGCCCAACAAAACCATTGGAAAGTCTCCGGTTGACTCCATTAACTTTGGGGTCAAACAAAAGTAAACTGTAAACTCTAATGGAGGACTTGAATTATATGAGAAGTCTAGTTTACTTTAGTAGACGGTTGTTTATAGCACTTCCTTGCTTTCCAGCGTGTTAATGGCTCTTTGGAGAGCGGAAAAAAAAAAAAAAAAAGACATGGTTTTTAAATCTCGTAGTAGCGTATTGGACAAATAAACATGAAATCACAAGGAAAAATAATAGTTGTGCTTATGCTTTGGAGAATGTCCTTGATCTTAAAAATTCCTCCAGCATTACGAGAGAATCTTTACCTGCAGGGCAAAGGCCGCTTTCTGAGTGTTGTTTACTCAGTTCTTGCAAATACTTAAAGACATGTATTTTTTGTCAGAAAAATTTGATTTTGCATAAGGAAACTTTGATTTTTCATAGACCTGGCTTATATTAAAAAAACTGGAAAGCAGAGAAATCCCCCTTTTAAACTTCTGGTTTTGGTGAAACTGGGCTAATGTGTAATATATATTATTTGTCAGTAGAAAATATACGGAAAAATTTAAGGAGAGAATTAAAAAGGACGTGTATGAAAAGATTTCCTTTAATTTTATGAAATCAGTCCAGCTCTGTGAATTATTATGGCAATGCAGGCTTTGAGTTCTTCTCATTATTCTCAGAGGACACACTTAAGAAGAAAAATGGTGCATCCCAGGAGCTTTGCTGTGCTTAAATTCTGGAAAACAAAAATACATTTTAACTCATGGCAGCAAACTGTAATTACCTGGGGTGATTATCTGACTCCATGAAAAATGCCCTTTCTTGGACAGTAGTGATTCTTGACTGTAACACAGTGGTTATATAAAAAATGAGAGAAGACACTGATGAGCAAAGAAAACAAGATGTTAGAGGTCAAAAAGTGTGGGTCTAAAGATAGAACTGTCCAAATGCAAGTTCAATTAACCCGCGTGCTGGAGTTTAAAGCAAAGGGCTCTTTCATCAAATAAATGAGAAGATAACAAGGAGAGAAGAAGTAGGCTGTTATTCAAAGAGAGTGGGAATAGAGGTTAAAGATAATGAAGACATATTCTCAAACTGGATGAATAGAGCCTTAGTTTCCAATAATGATGTTGCTGAATAGGCAATGAGGGCAAGAATGAAGTTATGGGACTGGAAATTACCACTGTGGAGGCTGATGCCAACCTGAAGGGCTTCATCTGTTCAAGGTGATGGGAAGGGAGATGCAGGAGCACGGACCAAATTATTTTCATGTCTGAAAGAAGTCCCTCGTGAAATTGCCTGTAGGAGCAGTAGTGAGGCAGCACAGCCAAGTTAGAGGTAGCAGCAGAGCTTGCAAAACTGTTTGCAGTTTTTAAGTTCAAATAAAGAATGAGGTAATGCTTCAGGTGCCCACAGTGGGGAAATCTCTTCAGCTTCCCTAGCAAAGGTGCACTTGTCATGTGAGGACAACAAACAGGGCAAAGGCAGAATTTCTAATGAAAGTCATGAGTTGTATCAAATCCTGCTTGTTCTCTGCCTGCATGACATCACCACTGTCTGGGGCGCTCTGGGGGGATTAGTGAACCTGCCTTGCCCCCAGGCCTAAAGCAATAATGTGGTAAAGACCATAAAACTAAAAGTAGACACAGAAACTCAGGTCAGGTCCTTTTTAGGTATGAGGGGGGTTTGAATTCCCATTGTTAGAGCTCTCTTGATTCTGGAGGTGTAGCATTGACTGCCACAGACTAAACAAACCTTTTTTTTGTTATTATTATTACCAGGTAGTGTACATCACTGCCACGTTCCCATTCATCATGCTCCTTGTTCTGCTCATCCGTGGTGTGACCCTGCCTGGAGCTGCAGAAGGCATCAAGTTTTATCTTTATCCTGATATCTCACGGTTAGCTGACCCACAGGTACAGAACCAGGAGTGGGGAGCGGGACGCTTTCCTACACAAAGCGGGATGGTGGAGGGTGATGGTGGTGATGTAATGGCAATAGATTTTTTTTCCATGGTCTTTAGAAGTCCAAATATAGCATGAACATTAATGCTGGGTTATATTTTCCAGAGATCTGCTTGAGAAGGTCACTGTTATATGTGTTAATGCATCTTTCCATGTGTATGTATGTGCGTGTATGCGTGTGTATTTTTTTTTGTGTCAAAGGACTCTGAGGCTGTAGACTCTGTCCCGTTATACAATCTCAGCTTTCTTGTTGGTAAGGTAAGGGAGATGCATTTTTTTAATGAGGATAGTCTTTAGTTTCAAAGGAGAGACACGTGAGCTTCACAGATGGAACAGCAAGCGACAACTGTGAGTACCAGTGTCACTTAGCTCCCGCTGCTCAGTAGGAGGAGATTGAGAAAGAAGTGAATGAAATAATAGAAGAATGAAAACCCATGCAAAGATGGAGAAAAATGCTTTCTGAGGCACAGGAACTACCGTACGCTTTAGTGCTGGCTAGTGGGAGCTAGGCTTACCCTTTCTGTATAGGCTGCGATTAGATAAAGATTCCTGTCTGTGCTCACAGAGTGCAAATATGTGATGCTTGAGCAGACCAGCATCGTTTCAGCCAACAGTGATCATGTGAGAAATGCCAAAAAAATGGAGTACCCCCCCCCACACCCCAAAAAAAGAAAACAAGGAATCTTTGAAAATAACGGAATGTTGGTCACAGTGAGAGGGAATAACGTCTGTCTTCGCTATTTCTTTCTAATGACTATTTGGTTAAAATAAAACTCCAGTGATAGCTAAATGACTGAAGTAGGAAAAGTGTAATTGAAAGAAACATTGTGGAAATTTGGTTAATTCTCTAGTCTTGCCCTCTATACAAGGCACCCTCTTCACAGGAGACATTATATTTTATGACTGAATCTTCTTTTATGGGACTATATCGTTTTTATGATGTACTATTAGCTGTAAGCCCAGAGCATCAGCCAATAATGTAGACGAGATTCATGCAAGCTGGCAGGCCCCCTCCCACGGTCTAGCAAAAAAGCATCACCTCCAAGGAGACAGCAGTCGGCAAGGTGCTGGGAAGCGATGGTGGGAGGGAGGAGGTAATGGTCTACAGTCTTAATTCTCACTTACTCAGACTCCTTGGTGGTTTCTACTGGTGTTAGCAGACTTGCATTAGCAAAAAGAAGAGAACAGATGGGATTCAATGGATGCATTTTGATAGCTTGTTACGTATTTACTAACCAATTGATAGTGTACTGTTATTTCACTCTGTATATGTTTTTTTTAATGTCATCAATAGAAAGAATCATGAGACCGAGATCAGATACGTATCTTATAAAGTGCATTGTATTTTGCTTGTTTTCCCCCCACCCCTATGGCTTTTTATCTTGCATTTGAACAGGTATAAAAACAACCAGAAAGCTAGAAAAATAAACAAACCAAATGCACAAACCTGTTTCTCAAGCTTTTCACATCCTCAGTTTAGTGACTGTCGGCTGATTCTAACTAAAATGAGTTACAACAGAAATGAACGATGTTATAAATACTTTCACATTTCCTATTGAGCTGAAACACGTTTATTGTTGTGCCAACAGGAAGGCTCAACTGAATGACTAGGAAACTAGAAATACTGAGCATCTCTGGGGAGGGGATACAGGAACTGTTGTAGAGATGATGTTCTTGTGGGCTCTGATGCTAACAATTTTCTTTTCCCTATAAAAGCCAAACTTGCAAATGTGATGTTCTCTTTCC